TGTTTTCTTAAAGGAACACTGAGCAGAAAAGCAAAGCATCATCCAACATTGTAAGGATTTTGGAAGAAAATCTGTTATGTCCATGAGCAAATTTAAGCTGTCTCCCCCTGGACTGTTATAGTGTATCAAAAGCGTTTTCTGTGGGAACTGGTAATAGTGATTAGCACAAGCAAATTGTTTTGATTTTTTTTTACCATTTTAGTTTGATCTAACTTGAAGATTATCAAGTGCTAAAGCTAGAAGTAAATCTGATCTATTTATCTGTATAGTGTGGAGTGTGGATACAGAAGGCTCAAGAACAAAGACAGGCAGCTGATCATATTCAACGAGCAGGCTCTGATTTTTGTGATAGAATTTGCAGGTTTTCTTGGATGAAAGTGGGACAAACAGAAATACAGAGCTCATCTGCCAGATTCCTCTCTAAAATACCTAGTCCTCAGTAATTTCTATGTTTTTGAAATATTTTTAATATTCAGGTTAAATAAGTTTGAGGGATCTAGATGATCTCAAAATGTTGCCATTAAAATCTTTAAGGTCATAACAGCCTGGATGCTTCTCAGTTTGTTGGGAAACTGGCATCTATGTGATGCTTAGGAGATGAAGTATTTCTGCTAATTGTACATATGAATACTAAATTGAGTCAAAGACTTGTTTTATCCAGTCTTCATGGAGCTGGATTTGGTTGTGCTCTAGAATTTTGCATGAGAAAGGAGAAAAAATAGATGAGGGAATGCATTTGCTTTTGGAAAGAAGCTAAAGTAGTAAATCACAAGTAGCAAAACTAATCAACTCTACTATAAGAAATTATATCCTGCAGACCTTTGAGACCCACATTTATTCTGAATGCGAAAAGAACTATGGGATTATGCATATTTTCTTAAGTAAATTTAAATGGCTGTCTTTATCCTGTGTATTCTTTTCTGAAGTGTAGCCATGAATCAGAGCTGGACTCAAAGAAAAAAAAAGAAAGGGATGATCTAGATTAGTTGCATGAAGGGATGGTTTTAACATGAGCATCATTCAGCTCTAGAAAGGGACGATGTTGTATTCACAATGTCACAAAAGGCATATTATTGGAAAATTTCTATGTATGAAGATGGACAAGAATCTCCCTTAATCACATCATGGCTCAGTTGTCAGAGGTGTGATGAGCTTACTTCATATTGAACTTAAGTTACTTCTTGTTGCAAACCATAGTATTTCCTTTTTGAACTCTCATATCAAATGCTGTGTTTATTTTTTTTTGAGCACAACTCAAAGTCAATATTAATTTGATAATTGTATGGGTTTATTGATATTTAATGACTATCCCAAGTGCTTAACAATGGAAAACTTGTTCTTTAACTCAGTGTTGTAACTGGGTGTTATCAGCGGACACATTCTCATGCACATGTTTTAAAATCATTCTTGCTAATTTCTGAAATAAAATTTAAAAACAAAGCAAAAATAATAGATCACGTAATAATGTTGCAATTTAAACCTATTTTAATTTTCTAATGTTCTTCAATCTTTCATAGCTTTTAAAGGTATGATTTTCACATATATTTTAATCTTGCTGAATATATATGCCTAATAATAATAATAACATTAAATTAAACATGATTTAAAAAAAAAAAAGTCATTAAAGATGTGGTGGGGAATAGTTGTAATTTCTGGCTTTCTTGAAGGTCTAGGACTGTATTATAAGAAATCAATTTTCTTCTGTTGTGGTTTCTTTCATTGTCCCACTTCATTTTTACCTTAGTCTTTCTGGACTTTTCTTGTCAGATCCCCTTCTTTTTAGAATTTTCAATCCACTATATTTTTTCCTTTCTACAGTCAGCCCTCCACACAGAGGAAGAAGCTCTCCATCCATGAACTGTGGATCATTCTTTATTCTAAAAAAGATCTTATTGCAGCCTGTAAAAGGTAGTTTAGTACATACCAAATTAAGCCAGTGGAGTTTTTTGTTCAAAGTAAAGTGTCTTACAGAATTGCTTTGTCCTTATAGGGAATGTTAGAAATTTTTTGGCCCTATGGAAAATATAATTGCCCATCAACACCAAGATTTGAATACGCTCATCTAACCAGAAGTCCTTAGTCAGAGCATAAAGTGGGGAATCACGTCCATTTCTACTGAAGCTATATTTCTATATCATATGCAATGTTGATTTAGTAGCAGGCTCTCTATTAATGTTCCAGTCTGGCTTGACAGAGAAATTTAGGGCTTTACATCCCATTGAAATACCTCCTGAGTTTCTTTCAGGACCTATTACTCCTGTCTTACACAGAGAAAATTGGCACACTACAACAGACAAAAAATATCCTAAAGGAGATGCAGAATTTCTGTGATTGCATTTGAGATTTAGCTGGTTTGGTGAAGAGGAGCGTGGGTTACTGTGTTGAGAAAAGGTCTAATGGATAAACAGAATGCCCTGTTAACTGATCTTAAAACATAAATTAGTTTTATAGTGAGCTTAACTTACTTTTGTTTCTGTTTTCCCAAAACCAGCAGCTCTGCTTCCCTGTGCTGTGAGTGTAAACTTCCCTAGACTTAAACAAATGGGAGAACTTGCAGGAAAGGGACCTTTCTTAACCTTTTAGTTTTAGAAACCTGTTTTACCTGTTGCCTCAAATAAGCAGCAAGGCTCACAAATGTTCATCATAATAGCTGGAGATATTAACCTAAAACCAAATTGCTGAAGCATGGACCTTTGTTCTGGTGCAAGCAGGAGCAGTTTATTCCAGGCAAAAATCCACTAGTGTTAGTACTTAATCTCTTTTACACTCTAATACTTGTCCTTGCTAAACATTCTTTTTTTCTCTGCTATGTTGCATGTGCTTAGCTGACCAGTCAGTTCCCTGTCCACGCAGTGTCCAGGGGAAGGTAACACAGTTTACCTATTCATTGTCATTTAGAAAATAAATCTAAATAAGTATCCACCCATTATTATGTTAAGTCCATCACTTTATCAGGGATTCTTCTTATCCTGTATTCCTTTTATCAGCCTTAGAGACAGAAGACATTCCTTGTCTCAGTTGAATGGCTTCTTTCTTCTTCAAGGACTCTTGTAGTCTATCCCTAAAACTACAGATAAACTTATACAAAAGACGTTCCCAACTAATTAGCAACAAGTTTAAGTGATAGATTTACAGCTTGCAGCTGGCCTCTTCTATTAGCTTAACCCCTTAATGACTCTCCACAGTTTTTCTTACAGCTGGATTTAGAGATACAGGTGGTGATTTTTACAAATACCCTTAAGATTAGGTCCGTGCTTTATTACATGTGATTCTTGTGGGATTACAACTGGTGTGTCAGTATAATGAGTCTCACCTGTTCCAGAAAGTCAGCAATAACAAGACAATGCTGGAGAGGATACCTGCGGCCAGCAGGTACCTCATACAGACTGGCAGCACTTATGAGCAACAGTTGCATAGTAAGGATTATTGATCATGTGACATTTACCAGTCCTATTGTTTGCAGTATGAAAGTGTCTGCTGTTGACTGGTTGGAGCATCTTCCTAACAGTTAGTCATATCTATTTTCTTCCTTGATGTGTCTTTACGTTGAAAAAAAATCCAGCATCTCTTTCAGAAAGTCAAATAAATATGAAGCCATGGTAGGTCATTATTATAGCAATACTAAAAATTGTGCAGAGCAGTTGCTGATTCTTGGACTAACATTTATAAAAAATATAAATGCAGCACTACTGATGTACTAAACTTCTGGTTATGGGAGCATTACTTCAGTAAGCTGGGGCCTTACTCCAGTTTTCTACAATGTTATAAAGAAGTTTGTAAAAGATGCACTCTTTTTATACCTATCTGACTGAAGAGCTTTTATAGAAACAATACATGAAGCAAAAACTAGAATAAGTCAGAGTGACTGTAGATGAAGAAAATGGAAAAGCAGAATTATGGCACTTGTTTACTGTCAACTCATAATGTTCTAAAACTGAGCTGCTCCTTTCTACTAAAGATTGGCCCAATCCATCTGACCTGTTCAATTTTTCAGTAACCATTGAATTTGGACAAAGACTTTATGTGAATTGTAGTCCTCTCAGAGGTCTACAGATAAGATAAGAGCTTTCTTCCAAAACACACTTTACTGGATAATTCTATTGCCCATCAACATGGAACAAAGGAACTGCACTTGCCAGAATTTACATCTTGGCTAATTATTTCCACTTCCATTGAAATTAGTTTCTAAGCTTCCATTTTCTTCTGGCAACAGGCCCAAGTCTTTGGTAACTGGACACAAACCTTCACGTATTCTTAATTTACAGCTCTTCCTTTTTTAAAATTTTACTTCATTTGTTTTCTTTCTGTCTTCCCACTCTTAGGTTTTTTTAAAACTGCTTTTATTACATCCTTTCAGCATTAGTTTATTATAATTTCTTCTTATATTTTTTCTGTTTACTGGCTTTTTAGTCCCAATGTATGTCTTTTACTACTTCTGTTTCCCACTCTTAGGTTTTTTAAAACTGCTTTTATTACATCCTTTCAGCATTAGTTTATTATAATTTCTTCTTATATTTTTTCTGTTTACTGGCTTTTTAGTCCCAATGTATGTCTTTTACTACTGCAAAAAGGTTTATCAAAGAACTACTGTGTTTTTTGTGTGACTGACGTATTGTGCCATGACCTTATATAATCAGTTCTAGAATCTGATCAAAATGTTTTAACCCACAACACTGAGTTCATTTGAGGTCTCATGGCCCAGACAAATTACACATGCCTTCTAACCAGTTTTGAATGAATACTCTATGGGGAATCTGAGGTATCTTTTCCATAGCATTTAACTTCTTTGACCTTCCAGAACCTCAGGCAGTGATGTATAACTATTCTCCACTTTACTAGAGATAAATCTCTCTGTTTTCAAATATACATATGTAGACACACATGCACTTGTTTATTTATAGCTAAATAAGGTCATAAAACAAAACAAAACAAATCTAGGATGTTTTAACTATTTCATTGACTTTTCAGATTGTTTTTAAGCTGTTTTTTAAACTTTAAAGGCAACACTGATAGTGAACGGTTCCAAATGGTAAAACAGAAAATCCCCTTCAAATATAACCGGCCTGTAGAGGAGTGGCTGCAGGAAAAAGGTAACAGTCATTAAAACTTTCATTTTAAACCCATTTGATTCTAAACCCTCATTTTTAAAGCCTGCAAATAAATGTTTCTTAAATGATAATCGCCTGCTGCATAAATGACTGTTTTAATTTTCATTATAATTTGTGTCAGCTTCCACCTGCCATATGTTGATAAATCATGCTATAATACATTGCTATTAAAATGCAGTTAAAGGGACGAAATTCTAAGCTTGCTATCATGGTAATGACAAACAAACAAGCAAAAATTCAGGAGACATTTTCTAATAAAACAAAATGAAGGAGAGCAAAGAACAACAACATGTATTATGGCAACTTAACCACTGCATGATTTTCCTATTTTGATTTGGTTTTAAACTACATTTACATCTTTATTAGCAAATTTTTCTTAAAAAAATTTCAAACCCGCTTGTTAAACCACTTCCTGTGAATTTCTTTTTTCTCATTAGTCTGATTAGTCACTATTGCTATGTATTTCCTAATTGTATTATGATCATAAAAAAAAAAATAATTAAAATGTTGTAAAGAAAACATTTTTAATATTTACATTTAAACTACAGTGAGGGAGAGAGAGAAAGATGATTGCTCTGTTGCTTTTATGTCTGGAGTATAGTTTGAACACTCAAATGATACAATGATGTATTTGTCTGAGTTATGGGTCAGACTCTTCCCTATCTTAATCTCAGGCGTAATTTTGTGTGTTTGCTTGGCATAATTGGCCTCAGTCCAGCAGAAGACTTTTTAACATGTATAAATCCAACTGGCTTAAGTGAGAGTTCTGCACATGCTTTGTCGAAACTTGTGTCAGAACAGCGATGTTTTGATTGGCCCATTCTAAAGCCTGTTGAAGGTAACAATATCTTGTATTAATTTCAGCACATTTTGGACTTGGCTATTGGTTATACAGTAGAGCATAATTCAGGAAGCTATTCTCCCTCTATACTAAATGTGACATTAAAAAAACCCAAAAACCAAACAACCTTACTAACTCCTTGCCTTGAAGTCTAGAAAAAAGCAGAACACAATCTTCTCTTGTTTCCTTTTAAGAAAGTACTGCTGAGAAAAGGGGGTGACCTTTTAACTCAGATCTTACATTTTCTGTGCTGACTTATACTATGGTTATTAACAAATTTTCCAAAGGTAAAGCCAATGTTTTGTAGCATTGTAAAAAATGTAATTTACGTTCTCTTTCAAACTTCTATTGTCAACTGAATTAACAAATTGATTTAGTCAGTATGAATTAAGGATGTGGCTTACTACAGTCAAAATATTTTTATGTGAAAGATCTGATCCTGCAAAGTGTTGTGGACATTCAGTTCCTGTTGACTTCAATGAGAGCTGACAGCGTTGCCCACTTTTCAGGTTTATTCTACAACGGTGCAATGTTTGTAGCTGAAGCTTACGTATTTGTGAAAGTAAGACAAAAATATCTGTGTAACTAAAGCAGAAATATTTTTTGACCACCAAGGTTATATGGAACCATAAATTCTGCTAAATTGTAAATAAATTTAAAGTAAAATGTATACAGAAAATGCTTTTTGAGAGTCAATGGGTTCCCCCATTAATTTACAAGATCAAACTAAAATAATAAATAAAGCTTAACACTAAAAAGAGGATAATTTTGGTAAATTTGGATTGCTAAAGTCCCTTTAACACTAAAGACAATGATTGGCTCCATTTTCTCAAAACAGATGCATGTCTAGTTCCTTGATGCAATTCATGTGCTTGAGAAACCCACCTTTGTTTTCTTTTGTGGTTTTGTTTTGCTTTTTCCTTTTCAGTTTTCCACCAAATCTTTCATTTTATGTCACTGCTTCTCCAAGCTTGAGCTTTTAAGCGCATGTCGAGGCACTTTCATTTGTAAGCCATCCTGAAGTTTTGAACTGAAGTCTACCTTTTGTGGATATTGATGCTGCGTTAAAAGACAATCGCACATGAAATAGAGTCTAAAAGAGCCTATATTTGAGCATTCAGACAGTCTCAAAGCACTGCATGGAAAGGAAATTCAGTCTTCACACTTTGTGTTACAGAATGACATTGTGCAGTGTAACACCTGAGACAATATAGCCTTTTTCCTTTGTTCCAAAGCAGGTAGACATTTTCAGCAACTTAGGTACCAGTATAATTTAATAAATAAATAAATAAATAAATAACCTAGCTGATCACCAGCCTGCTCATCCATCTGGTCATCTATCCAACAATTGGAAAACATGGAAACCTTCTGTCAGAAGACTGTATAAAGATGATGAGTGAAAAGGTAGCTTGCTATCAAAATGGAACAAAATGAAATGATGGATGGAGGAATAGATAGATTCATCAAAGAGACAGCATATAGAATAGCTGTCTTACCCATATGAGTTCTTGGCTTGAGTGAGGTAAGATGAAACACTTTTCAATTGACATTTTTGAATGCCATAGATTTGGTCTGTTACGTTATTCATAATAATGAAATAGTTCATTCTTGGCAAACCAATATAACACAACATCTTTCTGAAGTAACATCATTATTGGTTTTGTTTTAAAAAAAAATAAATTATAAATTGGTTTAAAATATTTTTAAGTGGAGCACAGGTTTACAGTCTTGAAATGTATGAGTAATAAGCAAAACATTAAACACTATTAACTTAACTGAGATTATGTATATGAGTTAAAAAAAAAAAGTTAGTCCTCAATTATTCAATTTAAGTAGTTATAAAACCAGCAGATTTCCATAGCAGAATACATGGTGTTTACTAACGCACAGATGTTACCTAAACTACAATTTTATTAGTTAATGAAGACCCAGAATCTCATCGAAAATACTGATCCTGGAAGTCCTTAATTCTTCAAATCTCTCTTATGTATATGTGAAGTCTCACTGATGTGAGTGCTGTGCTTTTGAAGCAAGAACTATTAGTGTGGTTTAGGATTTGCAAAATCAGGTCCAAAATCTCTCTTAGTGTTATGGAAAAGTTACACTTCACTAAGATTTCTTGGTGATATTTTTAATTGGTATTCGGTTTTCCAAATCAAGAAGTCAATGAGAGAGCAAACAAAGAAATGAGAGCTTGGACTATTTATAATATTTACAAAACACCTCAGAAATTTAAAATATGTTCCTAATTTTTCTCCAGTATGCCACTAAAATGGCAGTTGGAAGAGTGTTCTGCAGAAAAGGACTGTAAGTCTGCAACCCTTACACAACTAGTAGAATTCACTAATGTAAACAGTTCTTTAATAAAATTCACTGGCCAAATAAATTTTACTTAGGGGAAGTAAGGGCTTCAGAACCATGTATTCAAAAGAATTATTAGAAGAGACCTATGGTGGCAGAACTAAGTGTACATTCTTGCAGCAGTTTATTCTCATTCCATATGCATTTCTCTGTTGTCTTTTTCATGCACGTGTACACTATCAAAGTGAAGAATGAGGAACGACAGGTCATAGGTTACTCCAACAAGTGATTGTTCTTTTAGCAAACTCAGTATCAATGCTGTCTCCAGAATTTCCCATATGGTGCAGTGCATGAACCCTGGACTGGAAGGCAACTTAACAAACAAGGAAGACCCCAAATTGCAAAATAAAATTTTCTTTTTTACTGGAGTGAGGCCACATCCTTGGTGTATATGTTTTCTTTCAGCATTAGAATATGCAGATAGAAGCCCAGAAATGGAGAAACTGGTTTTTTGTTTGGTTTTTTTTTCAGCGTTAATATAGTAAATCTTCATTCTTGGAAGTTAAGCAAGAGATAGGACAAACATGTCTAAAGCTGTGGGTTAAAGTAGATGACATAATGAGGAGAGTCATAATCCCTCAGTAAAATCAAGGAACCCCTTTTCTATCCTGACTTGGGGAACTCTCCTAGCTGGAACAGAAAAAATTTTCCTACCTCATCATGGCCCACCCCTTTTCCCAGTCGTAAAATATGAAAAAAGATACAGTGTGGTTTCAAGGGAAGAGAGGAATGGAAATTGAAATGGAAACCTATGAATGGTCTGTACCATCCCTCCATTTTTTTAGGGACAACATCTAAAGATTAGTGAAATAACTCCCCATTCTTTACTCATCTCACCTCTACCTTTTGGCACTCTGTCATGAGTGAGGTGGGAAGGAGGGATCAGTAGCAAATTAAATGTCTGGGTATGTAGGGGCAGGGACAGTATGGAGAAAAATATAGTGCCAGAGGGAAGGAACATGGGGGGAGAAGATAAAATCGTGTTGAAAAGAATTGACGGCATATCCATTAAAAATCTGAAACAAAACAGGACAGAGAAGAAAAGCAAACTCTGAGGACATGGTATACGACAAAAGTTTGGCCTTCTGCATTGTACAATGCCAATTCCTCTAGCGCAGGTGGGAGCTGGTCTAAGAGGGCTGAATGTTGTTACTGGATCCTCTTTTCCTCATAGACAAGAGGAAAGGCTCTGTTTTTACATGTTGACGATGTGTGACTTCAGTGCATGTTTGTTGATGTTTTGGTAGATATATGTTGCCTCTGGTAAGTTTAAAACCTCCTGAGATGCATCAGGTGTTTCAACACTTTCCAGGGGAAGGATACCCTCCACTTTTATTTCTCATTTCTTCATCAATGTAGTTACTTCACCCTGATCAAGTCCTCCTGTTTCATTTATGAATCTGTTGGTGAGAAGCACAAGGGATGTGCAGCCCACCTCCATGTGTCCGTTTGTTACACCCCTCTGTACACTTTTGCTTAGTTAGTTAGGGCTCTTTGGGGACAGGAACTCCTTTCAGATACATTTCTTCTCTTGTCCCCATTCTCTTCCCCATGGTCCATCCTGTCACCATAAGATGATGCTACACCGCATCACCACTTGACTTCGAGACCCGTCACGACGACCACCAAAATTGGTGAGCTGCCCCTCGTGTTTTGATCTACTCTGACCACTGGCTGTGAAGGAATGAACAGTGGGTTATAGGCTGTGCTTTGCTACATGGTGGCATAGCATGTCTTATCAGGGTGGACTAGAAAGGAAGTGGTGTGAGAACTGGGGAGTGGGAATGGGATGGGGACATCTGTTGCAAACTTCATAGAAATGGGAAAACACAGCAGATATCTGAATGATGACTGACTTGATGTTGCATTGATAACCCTTCTGAGCTCTCCACAGCCTGGTTGGCTGTTAATTCAAGAGAGTCCAGGTGGCATGCCCCTACTCTTCTGAGGAACAGTGAAATTATAGGCACTGCCTCTGCAATGCATGAAGCAATTTACTTCTTAACATAGTCAACCTATTGTGGGCTGGGACATAAGCAGTATTTACAGAGTAGTCCTGGCTGATTGTGATTGAAGTATCCTGGAAAACTAGGTGGATTGGCAATTGTTACTAGATCTATTTTTTAAAAATATATTTTTCATTTTATGTTATATTTGACCACTCCTAACACTCAACATGTGACCTTGAGTAAACCACTTAACCTGCCTACATTTGAATTTCACTGTCTGTAAGAGGTATTCTGGGACTTAACCATCTGAAGCACTACGTTACCCTCACTATTTCAAGAACTTTGCTCTTTCAGAGACATCACAAATTCTGCATTTGGTGTTTCTTGGGTTTAGATTTGTGAGCCTTCACAAGACAAAATTTACGGGTGGAAGATCATGACTGATCCTGCCTTAAGATTCCTACACAATCCTTGTATCACCATCTATTTTTTTCTGATGTTTTACTGTCCTTAAGCCACCCCTCAAAACTTTTGCATTAATAGAAGTGGCTTTGTGAGTTAATCTTATCCTTTGACTAGTCAAAATAGAATGTTTTTTATGGGCTAAAGCTTGGCAGGTACTGCAGTCTGAATTGATAGTAAAAAAAATAGCCATGTATTGAGGCCTTATTTAGATTTTAAAATGGGTCCAACTCTTAAAAGAGTGGGTTCAAATTTCTGACTTGGTCAAAACTCCTCCAGAGTTTTGATATGTGAATGGATGCTGAAGTATGAGGTTCACTTTTAGCTGTTCTTGCTTTCAGGCTAATCTTTCTCATTAATGAGCTTTAGGCAGCGTATTTCCATACTGTATTTCTACAGTCACCATAAACGCTACCAAGAATGAATCTACTTCTTTGTTGTCCAGTATTTCTGGCTAGCACTCAGTGTAAGATGCAAAGTGAAGGATATGTCTGGCAATAATGTTTTTCACCCCCCTTCACTAGGACGACAGTTAACGATCTTCAACACCCAGGCGCAAATAGCCATAGGAGGGAAGGACAGAGGGCGTCTCTTCCAAGGCCAGCTCTCCGGTCTCTATTACAATGGCTTGAAAGTGCTGAATATGGCAGCAGAGAACAACCCCAACATTAAAATAAATGGCAGCGTCCGACTTGTTGGGGAAGTCCCTTCCATCTTGGGAACAACACCTACAACCTCTGTGCCACCAGAAATGTCTACTACAGTCATGGAAACCACAACTACTATGGCCACCACTACAACCCGAAAAAATCGTTCACCGCCCAGCATCCAGGTGAGTCAATTAGTCTTCTGCATTTCCTTGATTCTTAGTCTTTTGCTTCACTGCTCACTTGTAAGTTCACAGGAGGCAGGTTCTCTGAATCATGCTCCATGTAACTCTTTTTTAAAATAATGTTGTATAGGGTAAATCACCACAAAATGTTGTCCTTCTGTGTTGGTTAACAAACAACTGGATGAATTATTATGGCTCAGATATGTGATAATGGGGACAGATTTTGCTCCTGTTCTAGTGCAACCCTATTTAAGTAGGATTGCCTCGATATGAATGAGAACATCATTTTACCTATGTTTCAGTAGTTTCATATGTGGGGAAATATATTCCTAAGGGAGTTATCAAGCTTAATGGGGGGTGGGTGTATGCTTATTTGTTATTATGACAGAATGTACTGCTGCAACAGTGAAGTTCATAATAGGGAGAAAAGCAATGAAGCATTGCTTCCAGGTAGAGCCATTTTTCATTTTCTTTTGATAGTCTTCCTGTAGAAAATTTTAAAGGAATGCTATCAAGATCAGATTCCTGCAAAATGTACATGTTCCAACATAGAGCAGTTCAATATCTCTGGTAAAAATAATGCCTATAAAAAAAATAATTTCATATGTTCTGGCTTAATTGTGCTGATGTAGTGTTTTCCATCCTAAAACTGCAGTGGTCTTGGCATCTCTTTTGTGGTACTGATTAGAAATAAACACCTTATATTGGCTTTTCTCTTCCATGCAAATAGAAGAATCATATAAATAACCAATTTGAGCAGTGGTTCACATATCGAAACTTACTTAGTTTTGGGGCATACTGCCATGTTATCAACTAGGATGAAACATTTATTTTAAAATCTTTATTTACTTCAGAATCTGTAGGAAGCAACATGCTTTTATTGACAGCAGCACATATTGGCTGAGACACAGTCTAGTGATTATTTATCAGTGTGCCTTTATTAAACCTTCAGAGAAAGTGTATTGTTGTCTACTTGGAGAAAAAAATAAAATCATTCTACTTCCCTGAAACAATTTCTGCTGCTTGGGACAGAAAGCCTTAATGAAATCCAGGACTTTGAAATTTGTATTCATACAAGTTGCATACTTGCTTTCTAACTACTTCAGAAGGTTTAATAAGTTATTAATTGTGTTTGTATAGATATATTACTATTTTCTTTATTTTTTTAATCTAGTACTAGTCACTTAGGATAAGAAAACACAAAAATTGTCTTTTTAATTGTATAGGAGGTCAGGCCACATGGAGTTATTTGTCCACTTCTGGGCTCCTCAGTACAAAAGACAGATGGAGCTACTGGAGAGAGTCCAGCAAAGAGCCTCTAAGATGGCTAAGGCACTGGAGCATCTCTCTTATGAGAAAAGGCTGAGAGGGCTGGCAGTGTTCAATGTGGAAAAGAGAAGGTTCAGTGGGAATCTTAACAATTCATACAAATACCTGAAGGGGGCTGTAAGTACAACAGTGGTGTCCAGTGACAGGCCAGAGGCAATGGACACAAACTGAAACACAGGAGTTTCCACTTTTTTAGTGTGAGGGTGACCTATCACTGGTATAGGTTACCCAGAGAGGCTGTAGTGTGTCCATTCTTGCAAATTTTCAAAAGACATCTGCAATGGTCCTGGGCAGCTGGCTGTGGGTGACCTTACTTGAGCAGGGGGCTTGGATCAGATGATCTCCAGAGGTCCCTGCCAACCACAACCTCTCTGTGATTCTGTGAGGTACCTCTGGCTATAGTGGAATTTACACTATTACTATTAGAGTAGTTAAATCCAAGTCAGGGTTTAACAGTGCCCCCTTTGGTACTCTGTAAATCCAGTTGGCAGGAGGACTTTGATTAATTGAGTTATTAGGCTCCAACACTCAATAGGTGATTTATTAAGTCTTAGCTAAATGAAGGGAATTTACTCCTAGTCTGGTCACTGTTTGTCATAAACATTATAAGTTATTAATTGTGTTTGTATAGATATATTACTATTTTCTTTATTTTTTTAATCTAGTACTAGTCACTTAGGATAAGAAAACACAAAAATTGTCTTTTTAATTGTATAGGAGGTCAGGCCACATGGAGTTATTTGTCCACTTCTGGGCTCCTCAGTACAAAAGACAGATGGAGCTACTGGAGAGAGTCCAGCAAAGAGCCTCTAAGATGGCTAAGGCACTGGAGCATCTCTCTTATGAGAAAAGGCTGAGAGGGCTGGCAGTGTTCAATGTGGAAAAGAGAAGGTTCAGTGGGAATCTTAACAATTCATACAAATACCTGAAGGGGGCTGTAAGTACAACAGTGGTGTCCAGTGACAGGCCAGAGGCAATGGACACAAACTGAAACACAGGAGTTTCCACTTTTTTAGTGTGAGGGTGACCTATCACTGGTATAGGTTACCCAGAGAGGCTGTAGTGTGTCCATTCTTGCAAATTTTCAAAAGACATCTGCAATGGTCCTGGGCAGCTGGCTGTGGGTGACCTTACTTGAGCAGGGGGCTTGGATCAGATGATCTCCAGAGGTCCCTGCCAACCACAACCTCTCTGTGATTCTGTGAGGTACCTCTGGCTATAGTGGAATTTACACTATTACTATTAGAGTAGTTAAATCCAAGTCAGGGTTTAACAGTGCCCCCTTTGGTACTCTGTAAATCCAGTTGGCAGGAGGACTTTGATTAATTGAGTTATTAGGCTCCAACACTCAATAGGTGATTTATTAAGTCTTAGCTAAATGAAGGGAATTTACTCCTAGTCTGGTCACTGTTTGTCATAAACATTGAATGAATTACAGTTCCTTATCCTTAATGGCTAGCTCTAATTTTAGAGAAAATCTTGGTACGATTCTGTCTCCAGAAGAATAAGGTCTGTAGTCCCGATCTTGTTAGTTTATTCGAGGTTTTCTGTAATGTATAAAGGCAGCAGAACTGTGTTTAGCTGTAAGAGTGTAACAGAGAGTAGTATTGGACCTTTGTGGCCTGGATCAAACTGAAAATGACCCTGGCTTACTTGAAGAGAAATTCTTCCAGAAAGCTTCCTGCCAAAACTACATGGCAGTTCACTCTGCCTGTAGAGACCACTGTATGCTGAAAGAGCATCAAGAAGATTTAATAAAGTGTCAAAGTGCTTCTAAAAACATGGTTAGAGCAGCAATTTCCTGGATACACATGCACCACAACAAATAGCCTCATCTTAGCTGATATTAAAGCAATAACTCTTTGACACTTCATGCTACCCACTCAAAGAAAGATAAAGTTCAATATGTACCTCCATTACAACTTTCTGCATTTCAATATCAGGCCATTTTATTGCTGTCGCAAAAAAGATGGTTTGCCTTTCTTCCTTACTCTTCGTAGAATCTGATTCTGTCAACTTAAGTTGCGTTATTTGTTCAGTAAAAGTGAGAAGAAATTGTCTTTTTCTGTTTGGACAGTATCTCCAGCTGTGGTTTTCAGATGCCTAATGGTTATTTTATCTTGCTTGTGTTTGACATCACCATTGTCAAGCCTGCTTACAATTTTAGATCTAAGTGGTGCAAAAATCTAATAGAACAAGTTTGTTATTTGGGGAATGTAAATTATAGCCACCTAAGGCTATGAGCACTACAAATACAGTTAGTTATTACCTTGCTGAAGCTTTCTCCTCTCCTTTCCCCCCCTCTCCCTTTCCCTCCCTTCTCTTCTTCTCTCCCCTCCTCTCCCCTCTTCTACCCTCTTCTCCCCTCTTGCTCTCCTGCACTTTCTTTCTCTTCTCAGAAATAAGACATTTTTCTTTACTTTCAAGGCCTTTCACACTTCTCTTCCCATTTTGATCAGCACAACTCAAGCATTCTTTGCTTACCTGTTAGATCTGATCATAAGAATCTTTGTGTTTCCTGATACCATACACAAGGCAACAACAGGTTATTTTTCCAATCCTGTTCAAGCCCTTGTTTTATCATGATGCATGCAAAAAGGTTGTCTAAGGCAGCTGTTTTTTCTAGCCAATCAACACTGGGTTTTGATTTATTATCCATTTTTCTGTACCTTTGTGTGAAATCTTGTTTTATGCTTAGATCGCAGACTTCTTGGGTTCAAAATGTAGTTTTTATTCTGCACGTGTACACTACTTAGCATGGAAAGATTCTGAGCCATTGTAGAAATACCAAGTTTGACACAAGTTAAAGTAAAGCATCTAATGCAAAATAGCAATAATTTGGATTTAAAAAAAAATAATTATTGTATTAGAAGTATTCTTGCTATTTGTGTTATGCATTTTCATATGTAAGTAATTAAAACTTCTCCTTTTTAAAATGCATATAAAGTTAATTCAGAAAATCAAGTCTGTAATCCCAAAGCGAAAAAAAATCCAGGGGAATTTCAGTAGCATCTTAAGATTTACACATTACTTGTTAAAGAAGTACAGGAAAGAATGATAACTGCAAAGATTTCTTCTGCTTGTAATGTATACCAAGATGCCTCCTGCAGTTAGGCAGTCTGAGTACTGCCTGAAGTGTTCTAGAGCACAGCTAGACTAAAACAGCTGGGAAAATGAAGTACTTTAAAACTGCACAGTATATGCACAGACCAATTACATGCTTTTAAATTTGTGAAGATCCTAAACATGGGATATAGTCTTAGATGAACAACCAAGACAAAGGGAGTTGAGAGAAAAGTATTACTGCAAATACCTAGTGGAAATTATATTAGCATTTAAATGTCTATAACTTAATTTTATTTTAAATCTATAATAACATTTCTGCAAGGCAATAAAACTCAGGTCAGTAGAGGATTGGAAGGATTTGAGTGAAAAACAGCTGAGATGTATGACTGTATCCTTATACTCGAATGAAATTTGAATGAATTCAAATATCGTTCAGAGAGGCCTTGAAGGAAGAGAAGAGCTGACCTTTTTCTGTTCACTGAAAATGAGGGAGAAAAGCGAGTTTTGATTTGTGTTAGTTTCAACCAGTTGCAAATGGTGCTTGTGCTCCGCTGCCACTGAGTTGAAACACTTATTTGACTTTCTCACATATGGCTTTGTTCTGA